TAATTAACTGGCTGCCCATCACGAGCAATAAGCAAAATTTGGTTGTAATAAAACAAGTTTGGAAAACAAGTTCAGTTTTCAAGGACAGAGCCTTCGTCTGTTTATTTATTCCATGTGAAAGCGGTCTGTGCAATGTGCGATACATGTCACGTTTTATTCTTGTGCGAGGCCATAGTTAACATTCCTGCCCTGTTACCCCCACCGGCTCAGAGCCTCCCATTTTTGAGTCAGCCATTCCTCTGTGTGTGGAGGTAACAAGCCAGAACAGTCTACATTGTACTGCTGCTATTGAGAGACTGGACACTGATACAGCCCCGGGCCTCTCCATTCAGCTCTCTGGAAATCACACCAGAGAGGTCACATGGAGCCGAAAAGAACCAGAGGAAGAGGAAGGAGAAATGGAGATATCCGGAGGCAAATGGGCAGAGGGAAGTAAGATGGATGGCAGAGTGTGGAGGTAGAGTCATAGGCTGACCAGCGCTGATGCAAAGAGATAGATAGCGAGCGAGGACAAATGTGAAGGGAAGAATTCCCCTTCTATTTTAACAAACTAAGTGGCCAGACCGTCCACGACTGATTGGTATGCAACACAAGCCAGCAGCAAGCACTTTTTCTCTGCCTACGCCCACAGAACGGCAGGACGCAGGATCAATGGCTCGATCCCCATCAAAGCCCGCTCCACCCCAGAGGTTGAGGCGTACTCAAGACTGAGGCTTCTGACCCTGGGCCTAACGGAGACGGGCATCTGCAAATTAGAGAGAGAGAGAGCAGGGAAAGAGGAGGAGGTGGGTGAGAAAAGTTGAAGAGAAGATCGACTGACCATCAGACGAAAAATAAGGAGGTTGACGGAGCGGGAAGATCTCAAGGACGGTCAAGCCAACTTCTCTGTTCCGTCACGGATATTCTGTCCAGTTTGGTCAGGCTGTTAAACCACATACTGTCTCTGAGTCGGAGCTGCCATGCCAGCATCCAGGGGAGGCAGGCTGCGTAGGAAGGGCTGCTCGCTGGCCCGGAGGACCCAGCGGCAGGCCACAGCAGCATGGAGGCTGCTCTACAGACTGCTCTTCATGGTGAGCAGAGGACCGAGAGAGCAAGTAAATATTTAGAAAAGACTGACACTGTTTATGCTGTGACATTTGATGCAGTTTATGAAGAGGCCTCGTTAAGAGAGACAATAGAAAGTCATCAGTAAAGGACTGAAAGTATGACTGCTCCATAAAGTGAGTTGGTTCAATAGGGGCTTTCTGGATTGAATAGATGTGGTTTAATTTCAGAGGGATGAGAGGACTGGTGGAGAGGTTTAGCTTGATTTATGTCAGGGGGATTTCTTTGGTCAGTTTAGAATGAAAATGTGAGAGGATTTATACGTTTCTGTTTGACATGGAGAGTATAGCAACCTTTCACTTTGTCCTAAGGGTCCAGCAAAATGGAACATCGTGTACATGTGTTTGACAACTGACTGTAAATGAAAGAAATGCTGCTGGACTCCGTCAGAAAGGAAACCGTGTAGATGGAGACAAAATGACTCAACAGCCTCTCAGGGCATTTTATTTTATTTATTTTTTAACCTGCAAGGATTGACGGAGACTTCTATTCTAAATTGACTAGAGGACATGGAGAGGTGGAAACATGATGCAGAGCTGATAGCTGTCAGCATGAAAACCTGAATAGGAATCCACAGCGGTACTGTCGAATCCACTTGTCTTTTCTGGCGCTCCCAGGCTTTTCTCCCGCCTCTGCTGGCTCCTGTCCTCCGTTCTTAATTGGTTATTTGGGCTGGATGTCAGTCTCTATTGGTAGGATTGTTGTGAAGCAATTGCAGTTCCTGAGTCATGACAGTGTGTGGGCCCCCACCTTTCCCCTCCTCTTTCCTTCTCTCTTTCCTTGCCCACCTCTTCTTGTCACACTCCATTGCAGGTATCTGCCATTTAATGTTGAGGATATCTTATTTACTTAGGAAGCTGCGTGAGAGGTGAAAGTGTTTTTGTCTGTGTACATGTCCCCGAGCGCCCAATCAAGCATATATGTTCCTTTTCACCCCAACCATGTGGCTCCTCCATCATCTCATTTGTGCGCGTGTGCAATGTGAACATGAGCCTACGTCCTTTCAGTGTGTGGGTGTGATGAGAATTAACTCAGCACTTGAGCAGTGGTGTGTGCTGCCAGGGCGCACACACGAATCTTTAAAGACCCGGGCAGACCTCCACTCTCCTTTCCGGGCGCCAGTAGCTGAAATAAATGGCAGATATGACTGTTATCTGTCTGCACAAGGCTGCTCTCCTGTGTGTGGAGCTACCAGTGGCCTATTTGATGATTATGTCGCTCTGATATCCTTCAACCTCTGTGTTTCCTTCAGGCAATCTCCCCTTGTCTGCCTGCCTGGTGCAATATGGAGTTTTCCCAGAGCATGTATCAGTGAATGAAGGTTGACTGGCGCTGTGTGTGGCACCATCACCGGTGTGTGGAGCACATTTTGTTATCTGTAGTGGGACAGTGTTTGTCAGCAGCTGTAGTTACACGTGTGATATTCAATGGTTATTTATGGATTGCATTTACATGACTTACATCGATGTGCTACATTAATGTTTTCATGCACATAATTAAAATAAATGTTGGTAAATGTTTTTTAATTCCCCATCAGCTCAGACACTGAAGTAAACAGTTGTGGGCTAAAAAAGCACCATGTATTCCAACTGGAGGAAGCTGCACTCTTATACTAGATAAACCATTAGCGTAATAAGGCCTTTTTAAGGAAGCTAGCAGCGAGTCTAAAAAGCTAGCCGTATGGCCTTTTCAGCCATCAGCCTTAGCTGTTAATTAGCTTATGTTTGCATGTTAACACGCTAAGGTGTTCTACATGGTAAACATACCTGCTTAATATCAGCATGTTAACATTCTCATTGGAGCAATGTCAGCATGCTGACGTTAGCATTTAGCCCAAAGAACTGCTGCTTCACAGAGCTGCTCGTATGGCTGCTATAATGAGCCCGTTGTCAACTGTTCATCGTGTTTTGACTGTTAATGGAGCATAAGGTTTATTATCAACCCAGAGGCAGTGTGTGCTTGCCTATACAGGTATGCCTGTTTGCAGTGTATGAGTGTGTCTGGCTCTCCACTTGGATCTTTGGTCCCTCCACCAGTGCACAGGGAGGCATCAAGGCCCCGTTGTAATTATCAGCCCACATTCAAAGAAATCCAGAGTGGAGCGCTGCTGTGGGTGGTGGATCACTTGAAAGAGTCTTAACCCAGACATACAGAGAGGAGACAGAGAGGAATTTTCCCTTCTGTCTCTTTCTCTCTTTTCTCTGTCTTTCAGTCTGTCACTCTTGCACAGTCTATATTGTAGCATTGGGGGGTCGTCTCTGGAGTGACCATGCTATAATGAGCTAGCTGATGAGTCGCAGGCTTATTAATGGAAGCCTTGATTGTCTCTGGGCTCCCTGGGAGTGGAATTTGGGGACGGGTGGGTGGGTTGTGGGTGGTAGCTCACACCAGTATCAGAGCTGAGTGGCTCAGACAAGCTTTCGTACACTGCTCAGTGTGTGTGCATGTGTGTGCAACGATGCCTGCAGTGTCAGAATGAAGGCTTTATTGATCCATGTGTGTTAGTGTACAGCCTTTCAGCACTGAGTTGCACTTGGATGCTTGCTCATGCAATATTTTCAATACCAGCACGCCCACACTCGCACATAGACACACAGAGGAATATGGAGAGTGCTGAGCAGCTGTTTTGCCTGGCCATCCCACCGTGCTGTGTTGCTGTGCAGCGGATTGGAACCTGCTATTACTGGCACTTATCAGCCTCTGCTGATTCTAGTGCCTGGCCACAGATTATAATGCTACATCATGTCATTTACTTGGAATAAGGACTGGTCATCATGCGGCTATTTTTAGCACAGAAATCATATTCGATGACTTGCACACTATAGTGTAGCGAAGCTTTGTGCAGTTGATGAAGTGATGTGCTTGAGTAGCTTGGGAGGTATGAAAGTAAAGTATTTATTTTGATTGAAGTGCACATACATGTGTTATTGTACTTGAAAAGCATATACTGCAGAGTGGCAACAACCATGGTGTAATGTAGAGAGAAGGGAGAGGCTTCTCCCCCATAGCTTCTTTTTCATGTCCCAGGGAATAGAACAGAGAGGCTGATTATGGTTCATTTTCTGCCACAGTTGCTCACAGACTACAAAATCTTACCCGCCACAGGCAAGGCTTCTCAGTATGGTGCCTAGAGCAGATGTTAATTTCCTTACCCCAGGCAATGCAGTCCAATATAAAATAATGCGGATTATCTGTTTCCGTCGAATACCTCTGTAAATGGTATGACGCTGAGTTCGTCATGGGGTTCCACCTATCAAAGAAGTACAAAGCGGGCTAGAGGAGGATTGTACTTTTTGTGAATGAGCAGAGGTATTACCAACCAAATTTAGAAAATGAGATGCTACTAACCCCGTCCTCCACTCCCTCTAATACAAACTATTACAAACTAATACATGACCTCTTGGGATCTCTTGGCATTTTGCATTTTCTGGAACTGATGTGACACAAAGCTGCATAACTGTCCATTGTGGATTTAGAAGAATGTAATGTGTTATAATACTATCTGCTGGGATATCCAGTCAGTCTTTCAGATGCACTGTAAAGTCTTTGATGCAAAGCCAATTAGCATAGGGTGCATAACTAAATCTCCATAACACCCTTAGTATACCCAGGGGAATGGCTGGCCATGTACAGTGCAGAACCACTGTATATACATCATTATTTCATACAGCTGTAGACCTGAAATCGTTAGTGGTGAATAGTTAAATGAGGGAGGTAAAAGACATTTTAATGCATCTTTAATGAATATGTTTGTGGGCACATGTACGACTGTGTTTGCATGCATGCAAAGCAGGTTATGATCACAAGGGTGATCCTCATTTTATCCAGCTGGCTGTTTATAATCCCTGAGCTACCTAACCTAAATACCACGCCTGTCTCTCTGTTGCCCCCTACAGAGCGTGGACACAGTGTGCACTCTCTACCAGTCCTTCCAGGAAGGGACGGCCTCAGGCGCTGGTGGTGTGATGGAGGACACCAAGGAACCTCGGGTGAAGCAGGGAGGGGAGTTGGGTTCGGGGCCTGCCAGAGAGGCCACCCTCATCAGACCTTGCCCCAAGCACATGAGTGCCACTGAAAGGTTACGAAAGGTCATCCAGGAGCTGGTGGACACAGAAAAGTCCTACGTGAAGGTGAGACCACAAAGCTTAGTGTCTTCTCAGAAGCCTGTATGAAAGTTTGATAAAACGTAATAAAAAATCTTTTTACTCATTGGTTATAAAATCATTATATTTAAAACCAGGCCAAAAATATGTAGCAGAAACCAGTTAGCTTAATTTAGCCTTGTTCTTTTCAAAGATAAAGAATCTGCCTAGCATCTCTGAAGCTAAATAATTAACATGATATAGTTTCTTTGTTTAATTTGTTCAAAAACTGAGGTGTAAAAACAACAACTTTCAGAGGTTTTATGGCGGGTTACATGCCTGACTGTTTCTTGGCCGTGAGCATTTGAGACTACAGGAGGTTACTGCTTCCAGCCAAGAAATGGTCTGGCACATAACCCCCCCATAAAATGACAAGTTGTCACTTTTACACTTGGGTTTTTATGTAGATTAAACAAATGAGATATAATATTCAGTCAATTTTAGAGGTGCGTTGAGGATTTTGTTTCGTTTGGACCATAGGCTTGCTGTTTCCCTCTATTTTCCTTCTTTATGCTAAATGAAGCTAAAGGGCTGCTGGGTCCAGCTACATATTCGCCATACAGACATGAGACTGGTATAAATGTTCTCATCTAGCTCTAAGCAAGAAAGGGAACAAGTATATTTTACAAATGTCATGTTATTCCCTTAATGTAAGTTATTGTGCTGGTGATATGGGACATAAAGAACAAGAGAAACTGAAAGAGATGCTGTTTCCTGTGTCACAGTTGGGGCTCCTCCTTCCCTCCTCCTCCTGTCTAGCCTTATTTATCTTCCTCCCGCCCAATCATTTTGCTGCCCTCATGTTTTCCAATATGACCTTTTCCTCCCTGATGCACATTAAAGAGCCACATTCATGATCTTCTTGTGTCTGCAACACATGAGATGTCTGGCATTTTTTCCCTTTCTTTTTCATCACCTCATTTTTCATTGAGTCCCTTTCCCCGTGCCCCCCTCATCTTCAACCTGCTGTTGATTTGTAATTGAGGGAGGAGATTGTCTTCCCAGAGTGCCTGTTCACCCGTATCTGTGCACCACTAGTGCCTAAGGTAGCTAGGGGGGGGGGCCGGGGAAGAGGAGGAGCAGGTGGAAGCTCATAAATCAACCTAATGAGAATATTCCCACTGATACCAAGACAAGCTACAGCCACATTAAAGGAGTGGGGGTTGCGGGGAGAAGGGGAGAGTGAGGGGAGATGGTGGAGGAATGAGGTGGGGGATTGTGGGAGGCAGGCAGATAGAGGTTATACAGGGAGAAATAAGGGGAGATCAGATGATGAAATGGATGTTAAAGGACAGGCAGGTTAAGGAATAATGTTTAGTCTTTGTGTTTGATTCCTTGTCACTAACCTTTTGGATCTTTGGTGTAGGACCTGGCCTGTTTGTTTGAGATCTACCTGAAACCCCTGCAGAATGAAACCTTCCTCACACCGGACGAGGTAGGTGGCAAATTTGTGTGTATGTATGAAGAATGGAACATGTAAGGAGGGGTGTAGTGCACAGAGGCGTGTTATGGGAGGTGTTAAGGCTGTATCTGAGAATTGAGGACATCAAATTCATTGAGTGTTTACTACCCAAAGGTGGTGGTGATGAACTCTGGTTGGCCATATCTCCCTCATTACCACTGTGATAGGCTGGAGGACAAATTAGCATTCCCCTACACTGACCTTCTAGCATCCCAGTGGGACACACTAATAAAGGCCAGCTTAAGAGGAAACCTACCCTCTAAGCATCCACCTCTCTTTCACATTACCACCTTATAGCTGCGATTTCAGTGCACCTTTTTCATTAAGAAAATGAGATTTTTCATTTCATTTAAAAAAAACATGTCAAACTGTGTGTTTTGAGTTCCTGTGACAACATATTGAAGAGCCGCAGCATGCTAATGACCTTAGTGTTGGAGTTTCCAGCCCTGTGTGCAGCACTGTGCCAGGCGTGACCTCAAACACAGGACGTCTCTCCCAAGACACACTAGTCGATAGGCCACTGAGTACTGGTGCAAATTAAAAGGCCATTATGGGACAGCGGGACGTGTCCAGACACAAAATGGACAAGGGCATGTTAGCCCCCGAACGCTTTTTAATGAAGGCAAGCGTTGACCCTGAGTATGTGTGGTGGCCAGGGTGTGTAAGGCTGGAGAAGTTTATACATGGATGTGTGCTGTATTACCAGCAGGGCTATAGCTTGTCCCTAAGTGCCTTTGTCAGAGATGGAGCCATCAGAGTGGTTTTATAACACTCCAGGGTGCCTGTCTCCCTGATTGTTATGAATCACAAGCTATCTTGGATCTTTTTTTCTTGTAGCCGCATATTCCTTCTCCTCCACCCAGTCACACTTTGTCTGCTATTTTCCTCTCATACATCCCTGAGAATTAACATGACCTTCCCACAATTCCAAACTGCCTCTCCTTTCTTTGCCTCTTTCTATCCTTCATCCTACTAACCCTCTACCCCTGTTCTCTTCCTCAGATGGAGAGTCTGTTTGGCAGCCTGCCAGAGATGTTGGACTTCCAGAGGGTCTTCCTACAGACGCTGGAGGAGAGGATCGCCTCCTCACCTGACTTCAGCACCCTGGAGACTCCCTCACAGTTCAAGGTGAGACACACACACACACACACACACACACACACACACACACACACACACACACACACACACACACACACACACACACACACATTATATTATTGATTAAATGTCCAAAGATTCAGTTTAGATCCCATCAGATATACAGAGTATACAGAACAACATTATTCTCAAACTCAGGGGATTTTTAGCCACTATTCCATAGAAATGTGTGATCTTTGAGATCTTGAGGTTTATAAATAATTGAGGAGGTGTGACAGGAGCATTGCCGGCTGATTTATAGCCTTGACATGACAAGATGTGGGGTCTATTGATTGAAGCAGTGGTTCACTGGTTGAATTGTGAGCTGCTGAAAGCAAGTGTGCTCAAAAGGTTAGGCAAGAGGGAGAGGACAGAGGGGGCGTTCGAATAGTCTCCCGAGAGAGGGAGGACAGAGGTCCGGTTACGACTTCACATGTTCGCACTCTTTCATCCTGTCTCTGGCCATGTGTAGCATCATTCTCTCTCTCCATCTGTGTGCAACACTCACTCCCTGTCTCTGTTTCTCCTCTCACATCCTCTCTGTTTTCAGAAGCTGCTGTTTTCTCTTGGGGGTTCGTTCCTCTACTATGCTGACCACTTCAAGCTCTACAGCGGCTTCTGTGCCAACCACATCAAGGTCCAGAAGGTCCTGGAGAGAGGTACAACACACACCTAAGCACATGAAGAATACATGACGACCTAAATTCACTACTGCCGCAGAAAATGGGAGTGAGGATTGGCATAAATACATCTGCAGATACATATTAATCCAAAGTGTGCCACACCCCTGCTAAATTCAGCCTCCTTGCACCCATGTTGCATCAGAGACACCTCACGGCACTCACTGTCGAAGGTTTGGTCCTTACTTTTGGGAAACAAATCAATTATGTACCAAAGCAAATGTCCCGGAGTGAAAGAGTTGATGCAAGTGAGGTGAGTGATGCCTCTCCAATTTACTGCAAGCCCCGTTCCATGTCTAACATCATGCACAGAAACACACAAAATATTAGCGTTACAAAAAAGGAGAAAGATTTCTCACCTTTCATTTTGAGATCTGCAGTTTCTTAACATTCAAGCAGGTGAAGTTTAAACAAATACATGCATATATTTATACACAGACTTTGGATAACCTTGTCCACTAATGGCAGATATGCCAACGTGACAACCTGAGAGCCCTAATAATTCCTTGCGTCTCCCTCAGCATATGACAGAGTAGAAATTTTAAAGTTGATTTACGCCCGCTAAGAAGCCAGCCCCTCTGCCACTATTTGGGAACGCTGCCCACTACAGAGAGAAATGTAAGAAGATTGGCTTCTTTGCTGACATGGGGGGGATGGGGAGGGCAAATTGCCCCCCTGTGCTGCTTAAATCTGCCCCATTACCAGAATTGCGGAGGATATTCCTCGAAGTAAGCAGTAGGATTGATGTTTAATAGGATTAGACCGGAGAAAAACGCTCTGATGAAAAGTCTCTGATGGGTCAGAATCATCTAGAGGAGAATAAAGTATGGTGTCTATGGTTTTCAAAGCAACACTGGTGCAATGAAGGATTTTCTGTACAGTTAAATATTTAGAAAAATCATGAAAATTATGATTAGATATATCATCCCACCCAAGAGCTATACAAATAGGAGGAGAACCCTCCTGTTTCTTTTAGAGATGAGCTGTTAACTGTGATCCAAATGTGAACAGAGGGGTAACCCCACTACCACGAGTCAAAGAGTTTCTTTTATTTAGGATTTATATGGTCAAAAATTACTGGCTGTCCTTTTCAAAACGCCACTTAAGTCTTTGCATAATGATTGTTGTTAAATGCTTCAGTCTGCGGGCAGCTCCAACTTGACACAAAATGACTCCAAATGTTTGATTGAAGGGAAAGATGCCAGACAAAGCACCAGTATTCACAGGGTTTAGACACCCTGTTCTTTAACCAGAGCTTTAAATTTTATACCTTGTGCCATACACTAACATTAGAGCAACATGTAGTACAATCATTGCACAGCACAGAGAAGAACAGCCATGTATAACAAGGCGATAACTGCACAGTGCACACACACTGAGTATGTAGGTGGCTCGGCTTGATACAGAACATCCAGCACATCCTGGTCACAACCAGCTGATCCAAGGACACAGACAAGAAATCTGTGGGCGTTTGTAAACCCTTTAAGTAATTATATGCCCATCTCTGCCATCTTCATCACTCCCCTCCCTTTCTCATCATGCCAAAGGCCCTGGGTTGCCTTAGTTTCTCTGTTTATTTGTCGACTCATTAATTGCCTGCCAATTACTCAGGGAGGTGTCAATGCGGCTGCCTGTCTGTGGCTGGGAGTGCTATAATTAATACTTTAATGGCCCCCCTCAGTACGCGTGGTGGAAGCATACTGTTCGGGGAAAATGTCATCACCTTTACAGAAGGCTTGTTCTTTATTATACCTGCTATTTCACACTATGCTGTTGGCTTCAGAGTAAACTCAGCAGTCCCAACTTGATCATTTTCACCAGGTTGTCAATAAAACAGCTTTTCTATGTATTTAAGTAACTCGTCACAGTTCTGCTAGATATAGTTATATATATATATAATTTTAACTCGTATTTACTGTGAAAACACCTTGTCTACACTTTCTTAAGATACTCAGAAGTGGTGCACTGGGTATAATGGATTCATAAACAAAAAAGATGTTTACAGTTTAATACTGCAGTTGTCATGGTAGGTTGAGGAGAAGCCTACACTACCCCCTGCTGGAGACATGTTATTGCACCATGATTCTGCACTAGGACCAATAATATGTGGCTCACAGTGTAGCCAAATGTCTCTCTAAGTATGTTTGCTTGAGACCACCAGGAAACACAAACACCAAAAACAGATGAAGATAACAGACTGCCCAGAGATCCATATTAATACAGTACGTATTTTATTTCAGCTAAGACAGATCAGGCCTTCAAGGAATTCCTGGATGCGAGGAACCCCACCAAGCAGCACTCATCCACCCTGGAGTCCTACCTGATTAAACCAGTACAGAGGGTGCTCAAGTACCCCCTGCTGCTCAGGGAGCTGGTCTCTCTCACCGATGCTGACAGCGAGGAGCACTACCACCTCACTGGTAGGGAGAGAAATACATATACATACACATACAATTACAAACATACATGCACATCCTCACACGGATAAGATTCACTAAAAATATATATGCTCACACTTGTCATTTCAGTGTCATGTTGTTATGCTGCCATGCATGGGAACATTAAGTGACAGATCTTGGCACATAAGAACTGGCATTGTTCCCATACACAATGCACACACACAATGAGCAAATACAATCTGCTACTGTAATGCAAAGCAGCTACATATACAGTCAACACTTCCGCTCTGTTCTTGTCCCTGCAGAGGCTCTGAAAGCCATGGAGAAGGTGGCCAGCCACATCAATGAGATGCAGAAGATCTACGAGGATTACGGCTCCGTGTTTGATCAGCTTGTTGCTGAGCAGACTGGCCATGATAAGGAGGTAGATACATGTTTCAGAGTCAGATTTATAATCACCAAGAATAGTCTTATATATTTAAAGTTGGCTTAGCATCAGTTGTACATTTATATCAAATTGAATTTCACAGGACACCTGCTACATGGGTTTCTCATAGAAGATTAAATGAAATACAGAACTTATCTACTTCAACCCAGCAAACTATCAGTACATCAGTGTGGAGTTGTTTAGCTTCTTATGCTGTTTACGCCGTTTTCTGTGCATTGCCTCTAGGGACTGAATACATTTACAAATTGATGGAATATTTAGTTGGTAAGCACTGCAGTATAAATATTCAAAGTGAATGCTAAATAATGTTGTCTGGGGTACTTTATGTATTTAAACACTTTCTCAGATAAAGACCAGATGAAGGTTTGATTGGAAATCTGCTTTCACACTATGTACCAACACCAGCTTGTAGTGTCTGTGAAACTCCATTTGCAGACAGTGATACTTAGTATGGATCTCACACAGCAGTGAAAAGCCAAATGTCTGGCTTGTTATTTTTCTGCCTCCACTCTCTTCCAAAACATCTCCTTTATGTCTCTCTCTCAGGTCACAGAGATCTCGATGGGAGAGTTTCTCATGCATTCCTCAGTTGTCTGGCTCAACCCACATCCATCGTTGGGTAGAATGAGAAAAGATCCCGAAATGACCGTGTTTGGTGAGTCTGTACACTGCTCTTGCCACTATTTCTGTTGCATTTTGGGAATGTGTATTTCCCTTCCCACCTTGCCAGAATCCAGAAGGTGTTTGGCAACTGATATCTTAGCTCTTATTACTAACTAACTCTACATGCTGTTTCGTCTCAGCACAAATTACCAAATAGAAGACAATTTTATGTCACCCATGTTTGCAGTTAAAATGTTTAATCAGTATAAACCAAGTTTATTGAGTTTGCTGTAGAGCCACACAGAATTGTCTGCAGTAGCACTCAAACAGATCTCAATGAATTTCAATATCCATAGCTGTAGCGCTGATATATGCTTTAAGGCTTCAAGCTGGCATCTAAAATGCTTCTGTGGGTTGCACTCCTTCAGTCGGCTTTCCCCAAGAGGCATTCGCAGTCAGAACTAAGACGCTGATGTGTTCTCTCTCTCCAGTGTTCAAGAAAGCGGTGATATTGGTCTACAGGGAAAACAACAAGCTGAAAAAAAAGATGGTAAGTATTGTGTCTGTTGCACTCATTTACTCTCACATGCCATAAATATTGTCTTTGGTGAGAAACGTAGCGTTTTTCTCTTTTCCCCTATGTGGCATTTTCTATGTGATGACCAGGCCAACCCTCGATCAGCACTTTCTCACGGGGATTCAGACCCGTTTAAGTTCCGATGGCTCATCCCGCTCTCTGCACTGCAGGTCAGATTGGGAAATACTGCAGGTAAGAGGCCGGTATACTGCCACATTACCCACACTAAATCACTCACAAAGTACATCCTCTAAATCTTTTTGTTCTTTCTCCCGCTTCATATTTCCCCACACACACCCTTAAGCTCATTCTCCTTGCCCACACACACACACACACACTTCTTCTGGCATTTCGTTTCAGCGCCCCCCCCCTTCTTATCTCCTTCTGAAACCATAAACCATATTTGGACTGTGTGATTAAAAGCCTCTCCTTTATTTCCTTGCTCTCCCAGGAACAGGCACAGAAAGCAGCTGCATCTGGGAGCTGATTCACTCCAGGTCTGAAGTGAAAGGGAGACCGGAGACTGTCTTCCAGCTGTATAGCAGGTCAGAGATTAAACTGTCAGGTGGAATCAGTGATGGTTAATTCTGATGTTCATTCATAGATGCCACTGTTGTTTTTTTACCCATTACATATTACAGAATTAGGGTATATTTTAAAGGATAATTAAGGTTTATTACAACTTTTGCATTTTTGTAGTTTTGACCACCATATCTATTGCTTATGATAACATTGTACTCAACAAAGTAATTGCTGAGATCTGGAAACATGGTGGCGTCATTAAAAGTCTCACAGGGCAAGAAACCAAAGTGACCACTATGATAATGTTTGGAATAACACAGTGTGCACACAACTATGGCAAAAACAGTAGGTCAAAGTTGAACCAGAAAGTGGGTATGTAAACTGTGATGAACATACCCAAATTTTTACCATTGTTTCATTTTTTCATCCACATAAGTTAGACTACCCTTGCTTTTTCCAACAAAAAGTCAGATGATCAGACAGGTTCTGTCTACTTTTTAGAGAGTCAGTTTTCTCTTTAGAGATGTTGCCATGTTTCCAATCTTAATGTTGCTGTTGATGTTTATCTTAATTACTGATGGAAAGGATGGGAGAGGCTACAAAATGAAATACCCAAGTTGTGATAAACTGGAATTATCATTCCCTAAATTCCACCCTCTTTAAGGTAAACCAGTATTAAAGTGGGTGGGTGCTGATCTAGCTCATTTTTTCAGTGTATCAGAAGCATAATAAATGCCTTAAAAATAGTGCTACATTTCAGTTAATACACATTTTCTCTTTTTTCCTTTGGACGATACCACTCTCATCTGTCTTAAATATGAAGTGACAGACAGCTGTCAGTTAGCTTAGCTTAGCATAAATACTGGAACAGCTAGCTTGGTTCTGTCCACATTATCTTTTTGTACAGATTAAACAAATGAGAGATGTGTTGGTGAGTGATGTGCTGGGAGGCAGGTTTTGTTTTCGTTTCAACAGAACCAGTTTCCCAATTTTCCAGCATTTATGCTAAGATAAGCTAATTGATACTAACTTCATAGTCAGTGAGCAGATATGTAACTGGGATCCAGCTCTATCTTGTCATTTAGCTTTGTACAAGGAAACAAGTATATTTCCCAAAATGTTGAACTATTTGTTTAATGATGACTTCTAATAATAGAATTCACTAAAATCCACTAGAAAATACAAATGTTCCACTTTGTTCCCTATTCATGTAGCATTTTTTTCATATATAGTCCAATAATCTAATTTTGTCAAGCCATTTGTTTTCATATCATGGCCTCCAAAGACACATCCGATCATAGTTATCTGCATTTCCTGCAATGTTTACTGTTGTTTTTAGCATTTAATGGTGCAAACGGTCTACATGTGGATAGTGGTGAGAGTGAAGCCTGTGACCAAATTGGTAATTCTCATTACACACTGTGAAATTGGGATCACTCCTAATGAATTAAATCACCCATGACACCGGGGACACAATGGAGCTCTCTCACAATCCTCTTAATCTATATTTAGCTTCTGAAATCAAGTTTAACATACCCTGTGCTCATGTTACTATGGTACCTCTGCTGTGTCCTCCTCAGTGTGCCAGAGAGCAAGGTCAACATCATCAAGGTGATTCGCGCCATCCTCAGGGAGAATGTGAGGAGGAACATGAAGAGTGAGGGGACGATGGACAGGAGCTGTAAGGAGCACCTGGCCCCCCTGCGCAGCACCCTGCCCTCCTCTGCAAGGCTAGGTGGGTGTTCAGGATTTTTATGAAAAATATTTCTGTGTTTTATGGAGGAGATATTTCCTTCAGTTAAACATCTATGAAACACTTGACACTTGTTTCACATACCAGGCTCCTGGGAAAGCAATAAAAAAACATGTCCACATAGGGCGTAGGAGTGATTCTTGCTGACTTGCATTTACCCTTTAAAGGTTATTCGGCTATGCATGTACTTTGCAGATGATCATATCTTACTTTTTAGCCCATAAAATGCTAGGGGGTTATGGTGCAAGTGTTTTGCTCAGATAAGAGTGGCATTTCTAAATTCTGTCTCCACCTTCATTACCAGGTTCCTCCAGGGCTTCCTGGTTGTGTAAGCAGCCACTTGGAGATCTCTCCGCCCAAGCTGGGAATACCAAGCTGGGGCCAGACTCAGATGAAGGAAGTCTGAGCTGTGGAACCTGCAGTTCACCAGGGGCTCCTCCACCCTGCACCTCCTCTGACTCTAATATTCTCCCTGTCCAGCAGAACTGGTCTCAGACACCTGGGTCTAATTCACAATCCCGCTCCACCTCTGTCAAAGAGTCAGATATTTTAAGTGATGAGGATGATGACGGCTTTAGTGAGGGGGGAACAAGGAGGGACAGTGGAGACAGCAGCTCCCCAGCTAGTGCCATTGAGGCTCAATTTCTCCAACTTAAACTCTCTGAGGATGCTGTCTCAAAATGTGCACCGGCACCCTGTGTTCAACCTGAGGGAGTCGGGGACACTCCAGAGACCCAACCCAAACTGATGCGTGGACACTTCAATGCTGTTAAGAGGAAACCCAGCAGTTTCAGGAAGAGTCAGGGTGCACTGTTGAACATGAAGGAGCATAGCAGGTCACTCGACCATCAGACGGATGCAGCATCATCATCTGGGGCGGTGGACTTCAACATGTTGCTGGAGCGAGAGTTTAGTGTTCAAAGTCTGACGTCTGTAGTCAATGAAGACTGTTTCTATGACCCAGCTGAGAGCTGTGCCACCGACTCTGAAAATACCACCTCCTCCTAGAGAGTAAGGTGGATGAGACTATACTGTACCTGGGCCACAGGTTAGTGGTCATAAGAGGTCAGAGCGGCTGACCCTAGCCCATTTATCACAATAGGGGAAGCCCCTGTCATCCACTGTGGGCTGTACCAGGGTGACTGTGAAGCTGTGCCTCAATTCCAAAGTTGGTTTAGTAAGCCACACTCCTGCCTGCTGAAGGGTTAGGTGTAAATGATAAAATCTAATGAAAACCTATTGGCTAACAGACCCAGTTTTTCTCCCTAGAGAGGCGAAGCGAGGTGATTTCTGTCCCCGTGATTATGACTGCAATGAATCTGCCAAGCACTGATGCGTACCCGCGATCACCTCGGCTCTCTTGGCTTTGCCTCCTCCCAACAAACTGTCTGAGTGACGTATTCCCTCCAAGTTTCCCCTGCAGCTCATACTGACTGGCAGTTTTTATTCAGTTTTTGACCTTTTCCAGAAAGAAGTGGGGAGAATGTCCTTGGTCTGTCAGGTTGGTCCTTCAGTCCCAAAAGTTGTAAGAGGAGGACAAGTCCACAGTGCATCCTTGAGATACTGAGGTAAAAAAGGTTTTTAAGACATCCACTTAGGTGATTTGGGACAGTTTTGGCACAGCAGGTTTTCACATGGATTCAGGATTGGTGAAGTATTCATTTGTATTTTGGTTTCACAGAACCAAAAGACTGTAGGTCACCACTTACTACGAATTGTAATTTTTGTCAAAACTTAAATGAAAGCAGGCACTGAGTTAAAGCTATCACAGAGTAATAAGATCCACACCAAGAGCTGTGGCTATCAAGTCAGACTCCCAGACGAGAAGGGGCATGGGCTTAAATTAACAGGAAGTAGACTGACTTTTGCAACTAAGCCTTTTTGCGGTATTTTGTGCACTAAAGTACACTGTTTGCCTATATATTTGAAATATTTTTTATTTGTACAGGTTTTAATGTTATTAATGCTGTTTTTATTTATTAATAGGTTTGATTATGTATATCTTAGCAAAGTAACTTTTTGGGTGAAGGCTTGAACACTTGGCTAAAGATTTGGTCTACTCTTAAATAAAAAATATGTAATACAGTTTGGCGTTTATTTACTTTTAAATGTAGCCTGCTGGATTTTGGCTGTCTTTTGCTGAAGATTGTAATTTCCAGTATTTGCATTTGAATGTACAAATGTTTGATATGGCTGCTTAATTGAATGATTTAAACTGCAATAACGTTTAAAACCCAATGTTTGTTTTTATGTTTCTATGTGTCCTGTATATATGATCTTTTCTATCTTTGACACATTTATGTATTCTCTCATACATACTTGACACTGTACAGATGAGAAACAAGGCAGGAATTTGCAACAAATGCAACTGATATTTTTGTAAAACATTGTTTGCCATAGCATAAAGTACATGTTGAGGTACTATAAAAAGGCAAACCACAACATTTTTACCTTCTCAGCTCAACTTTACCATGCCTTTAATGCTAGGATACCAATGAATGTGAATGCCCCATTATTCCATTCTTATGGAATTGTTTTATAAATAAAAGTTTTATTTGTGAATGACGTCTGGAGAACAATGCTTTCAACTTCAGTTCCAAAGTCTGTTGGTTCAGTTTTGCATATCTTTTATGTTCTATTGACAGGTAAAGCAGTGCAGGGAACTAAGTGTCTTATCAGGTTCAGTCCCAGGGCTAGACTTGCTACCAGTCCCTGATTAGCTGTCATACGAAACACAGTTCTATATCCTGGTATTTGAAGGAAAGGCATATCCTCAATAGAATACATAATTATATGACAGAAGTGGGCCAGTTATACGAAGAAAGACGGAGAAACAGCTTCACTACAGTGCATGGATTTTTACACGAACGTGTGTAGTTACCCATGCTGCATGTTGGGACATGTTCTCACAGCTGAACATATTTAGAAACTACACAAATACAATTTCTTTTTCTATTCTTAATTATCTTAAAATCAGCAGACTGAAAACAATCTAATCATCAATTAAAGGATGTTTTGCAAGTGTCATTAATTTTCCCTCTTAGCCTTGTACTATCTGCATGGCTTCTTACTTTCTGCTTTATTTTTCTACTCTCCAAATAGGTGAATGGAATTCAATAGGGATGCTTAAAGCACCTATGTAACATTAACTAATTGTAGCAAGTAGCAGAAGTAGAGACAAGTCATAAAATCAGTAAATTGATTAGATGTCTGCTCAACAGTAATATCTAGCTCGGTCACATTAGTCATCACATGGCTACCACTTTCAAATGGCACATAGTCTCACTTTAAAATGTTAAAAACTCAGATTTGACTTCCTCCAAAGGAAGGGGTCTGAGCAGAAACAAAGACTCAGTTCATTGGGACATTTCTGTGTTTTGGGTGAAATTACTCTTTTACAATCTGCTGCCAACCCACCACCTGTTCATTTTGATGCAGTCCACTGGGCTAGACAATGAAAGCTCTTGATTAGTATTTTCCTCCAAGCAAAGTTTTACACACACAGTTTTTTCATGATATAGTGAGCCGGTGTAGAGGACTACCAGACAACCAACCATGATGATGAGGCATTCAAATATGTTTGGACAGATAATGTTGGCACACTAATATGGGCAGGATTTAGTGCTCATTCACTACTTTGGAGTCATTTCATCACACAATCTGTGACAAATCACTGATCAATCTGTCATGATTGTGTCTGGGGTAGCAGCTACACTTTGAGCTGTCAAATAAATAGAATGATGCAGCTGTGTTTGGTTCAGGTCGGGCATGATTTATAAGGTTACCATGCACTTAAAGACAGCTGTGGCAGTTTATGGTGTGAAATCCATAGTAAAAAGTATCTAAGTTAATTATAATGGGTGGTGGGCTGAGGGTCATTATATTTCATTTGAGCAATTTTTTTTTGCCAAAATGATTACACTAATTTTGTGTAGGAATGACTGACAAAGTAAAATGTCCTCTAGTCGCCTCTAACCTTTTACATTCTTTCCTGGGCACCAACACTTCTTAGTCCACTACAATAACGTGCCATCAAATGCATACAAAGAAAACTACACTGTACATCAACAGTGGTTGAAAGTGCTAATCCTAATTTATACTTTATACAATTCAATTCAGAAGGGCATGCTTTTTACCTCCTTACACTTATTTGAATACTTCTTAAACTTCTACTTCACTACATCTACAGGAGACTAGAATGGCTCAGAACAGAGCATATCTCTACCAAGGCCAAATTGTCCCATTTCATAAATCACTTTTGTGCATCAAAAACCATATACTATTTCCTAAGAAGTTTGCATATGGATGGTAGGGACATGTCCCTACCAATATTTTGGGAGGACTATACTACCTACTACTACTATATTACCTTACTATACCATGATGTTTTCATGACTTTTTATGCCTTAGTATACTATGACTTTTTTTAAGGTTTTATGCTTTGATATATGTTTTTATGCCTTACTATACTATGACGTTATGACATTTTATGCCTTACCATACTATGATGTTTTTATGCCTTATTATATGATTAAATTTTTATGACTTTTTATGCCTTACTATACTGTGAGTTTCTATGCTTAATATACTATGATGTTTTTAATGACATTTTCATGTCTTGCTATACTATGACTTTTTATGTCTTACTATTACTATGATGATTTTATGACTTTTTATGCCTTACTATAGTATGATGTTTTCATAACTTTTTATGAAGTTTGATCCTTTGCTATAATGTTTTTATGACGTTTTTATGCCATAGTATACTGTGACTTTTTATGCCTTACTATAGTTTGACTTTTTATGTGTTACTATACTATGACGTTACAACGTTTTATGCCTTATTATACTATGTCATTTTTGTGCCTTACTATACTATTACGTTTTCTGACTTTTTATGACGTGTATATGACTTTATCATGCCTTACTATACTATGAAGAATTTAGGATATTTTCATGCTTTACTATACTATGACGTATTTAGGATATTTTCATGCCTTACTATACTATGACTATTTATGAGGCTTTATGCCTTGATATACTATGACGTTTTTATGATATTTTATGCCTTACTATGCTGTCAGTTTTTATGCCTTACTTTACTATGACATTTTTATAACTTTTCATGCCATAATATACTATGACATTTTTATGACTTTTTCATGCCTTACTATATTGTGAGGTTTTTATGATTTTTTATGCCTTATTATACTATGGCTTTTCATGCCTTACTATACTCTGAGTTTTTAGGACCTACTCATGTCTTACTATACTAAAACGAGTTTCTATACTTATTATGCTATGATGTTTTTATGACATTTTATGCCTTACTATACTATGATTTTTATGCCTAATTATACTAAGACTTTTCATGCCTTACTATACCATGACTTTTTATGCCTAACTATACTATGGCGTTTTTATGATATTTTCATAGCTTACTACAGTGTGAGTTTTTATATTTTAATATACTATAAATTTTCATACCTGACCGTACTATGATGTTTTTATGAGGTTTTATACCTTACTATACTATGAGTTTCTATGCTTATTATGCTATGACGTTTTGATGACTTTCTATGCCTTACTAAACTGTGACTTTTTATACCTTATTATACTATGGCTTTTGATGCCTTAATATACTATGCCATTTTTATGACTTTTTATGCCTTACTATACTATGATGTTTTTATGATTTTTTATGGAGGTTGGATGCTTTGCTATAATGTTTTTATGACGTTTTTATGCCTTAGTATACTGTGACTTTTTATGCCTTACTATAGTTTGACTTTTTATGACTTTTTCATGCCTTAATATAATATTTTTATGACTTATTATGTCTTAATATGACGTGTATATGACTTTATCATGCCTTACTATAGTATGACTTTTCATGCCATACTATAATATGATGTATTTAGGATATTTTCATGCATTACTATACTATGACTTTTTATGAGGCTTTATGCCTCACTTTAATATGTTTTTATGACATTTTATGCCTTATACTGTGACTTTTGATGCCTTACTATACTGTGAAATTTTTATGATGTTTTATGCCTTACTATACTTTGACTTTTTATGCGTTAATATACTATGACGTTTTTATATTTTATGCCTTACAATACTGTCAGTTTTTATGCCTTACTATACTATGACTTTTTATGCCTCACTTTACTATGACATTTTTGTGACTTTTTATGCCTAAATATACTATTACGTTTTCATCACTTTCAATGCCTTATTATACTATGACATTTTTATGACTTTTTATGCCTTACTATGACGTATATATGACTTCATCATGCCTTACTATACTATGACCTATTTAGGACATTTTCATGCCTTGCTATGACTTTTTATGAGGTATTATGCATTACCATAGTATGTTTTCATGATGTTTGTATGCCTTGCTATATTATACTTATAATATTTTATGCCTTTTCATGCCTTAATATACTGTGACGTTCTTATTACATTTTAAGCATTATTATACTATGATGTTAAAACGTTTTATGCCTTAGTAAACTATGACGTTTTTATTTCTTTTTCGTGCCTCACTATACTATAACGTTTTTATGACATTTTTATGACTTTTATGCCTTAATATATTATGACGTTTCTATGACGTTTTATGCCTTAGTAAACTATGACGTTTTTATGACATTTTTATGACTTTTATGCCTTAATATACTATGATGTTTTTTTGACGTGTTATGCCATACTATACTAAGACGTTTTTTGGCATTCTTATGCCCTAATATACTATGACGTTATTTGGTATTTTTATGCCTGACTGTACTATCTTGTTTGATGCTTGACCATACTATGACGGTTTTATGGCCTTTTATGCCTTAATATACTATGATGTTTTTTTGACGTGTTATGCCATACTATACTAAGACGTTTTTTGGCATTCTTATGCCCTAATATACTATGACGTTATTTGGTATTTTTATGCCTGACTGTACTATCTTGTTTGATGCTTGACCATACTATGACGGTTTTATGGCCTTTTATGCCTTAATATACTATGATGTTTTTTTGACGTGTTATGCCATACTATACTAAGACGTTTTTTGGCATTCTTATGCCCTAATATACTATGACGTTATTTGGTATTTTTATGCCTGACTGTACTATCTTGTTTGATGCTTGACCATACTATGACGGTTTTATGGCCTTTTATGCCTTAATATACTATGATGTTTTTTTGACGTGTTATGCCATACTATACTAAGACGTTTTTTGGCATTCTTATGCCCTAATATACTATGACGTTATTTGGTATTTTTATGCCTGACTGTACTATCTTGTTTGATGCTTGACCATACTATGACGGTTTTATGGCCTTTTATGCCTTAATATACTATGATGTTTTTTTGACGTGTTATGCCATACTATACTAAGACGTTTTTTGGCATTCTTATGCCCTAATATACTATGACGTTATTTGGTATTTTTATGCCTGACTGTACTATCTTGTTTGATGCTTGACCATACTATGACGGTTTTATGGCCTTTTATGCCTTAATATACTATGATGTTTTTTTGACGTGTTA